GCCTGCTTAACTCCTTTCCATTATTTCTCTGTTGCATTATTGTTCTCTTTATATATTTGTAACTTCATTTTCTGTAAATATTTTAATTGCACCATTTTGACCTTTTTAGTAATAAACCCTATTTTGAAAAAGTGTTGAAACTGTCTCTAAAGCTTTTAATGCAAACTAAAGAATCTATGTGTCTGGAAGTATACAATAGTGCTACTGTATACAATAATGCTCTGAATATCCCTGTCTGTGGTGACAGTGTGTGTTGCAGACGCTTATGCTAAAATCATAGTGTTATTGCTAGGATTTGTGAGTTTCCTCCTTCTCTGTAAAAAGGTGGTGGTGGCAGTGTAAAGGGTTAATTGCGTAATTAATCTAACCCAGTAACAATTGCTCTCAGGTTACTGGCACATAGATTGTGGTCCCGCGAGCTGGAAAATCTTTGTGCAGGGTGCAGCTGAGAGTAGCATTGTTACGCAAGTGACAGCGCAGTGCGAGATTGGCTGGTCCTTTGTCACGAGTTGGTGAGAAGGGCAGGGGTTGGGCGCTGCGTTCTGTCACAAGTACCCCCAAACATTATATATATTTTTTTTAGCAAAGACCCCAGAGAATGACATGGCGATCATTGCAATTTTTTATGTTACATGGTATTTGCAGGGCAGTTTTTCAAACACAATTCTTTTGGAAAAAATACAATTTAGTGAATTAAAATAAAAACAGAACACAAGCGTTACCCCAATTTTTTTTTTGAATCTGAAAAAGGATGTTATGGCAAGTAAGTAGATGTCATGCTTTAAAAATTGCACACGCTTGTGGAATGGCGACAGACTATGGTACTTAAAAATCTCCATAGGCGACGCTTTAAACATTTTTACAGGTAACCTGCTTAGAATTACAGAGGAGGTCTAGCACTAGAATTATTGCTTTTGCTCTAATGTTTGCAGTGATACATCACATGTGTGCTGCGAACACTGTTTACATATGTGTGCACGATTTCCGTATGCGTTTGCTTGTAAGCATGAGCACAGTGGGATGGGGGCGCTTAAAAGAACTTTTTTTAATTATTTTTTTATTTTCTATTTGTTATTTTTGTTCTGTCCTTTTATTTCTTTTTTTAAATCACTTTTATTCCCATTACAATGAATGTACACATCCCTTGTAATAGAAATATGCATGACAGGTCCTCTTTAAGAAGAGATATGGGGTCAAAAAGACCCCAAACCTCTTCTTTACCTTTAAAAGCAAAAGATCAAAAACTTTTTTTTTTTAACTTTTGCTTTAAAAAAGAAAAAAAATTTGCTTACTCCGCTGACGACCGGATATGATGTTATGACATCGCTCCGGTCCTCCATCATCCATCATAAAGGCGATCAAAAACCATGCAGTCTTTCATTCCTGCCTTGAGGCCGCTGCACTGTCTGATCATTTCTTAGGCTGTCCGGGGGGCGCCCCCTTTTGCCGCTATGGATAATGATCCAGTGGCTCAAAAGCCACTAGGACTGCTTCAGCCATAACCCTGGTAGACCACTTGAAAACTGCAACGTTTATATACATATTGCGCTCATTAAGTGATTAAGGATGTGGTGGCCGGCCCACTCCTTAACAAACATCAATTCTTCACATTTAGATCAGTCAATACATTTTCGAACGATCTGAATCTGAATCTTTCCAAAAATTTGGCATTCGTTAGAAAATGAATAAACAAAACTAAACAAATTTCAAAATGAATCAACTAAATGAAAATAACATAATGAATCTATCCTAAACTGAACAAATTCCTCCGTTCTGCACATGTGTACTATGTTCCTCTGTGCACCTGGAGAAATCCCTCAGCTCCTCAGTTTTCTAGAAGACTCATACTATTCTGGGAGTCTTAAACAGACCTCTTTTCAGATGTTTAGACTTGGTCTCCAGTGGTGCACTGCTCTATGACCAGTGTTGGCCTATACTCTCTGAGTTTTGACCTTGTTGTGTTTTATGCTATAGGCTCCTGTTTTGCTGAGTATTGTTCTGTAGGTTCCAACTCCTATCAGCATCACTAAATATACTAAGGTTCTCCTGGGTTTTGATATGGTGACGTGATTGATACTGGTAGCGTGTCTCAATTACAATTTTGATCTTGGTGGTTTCCTTCTGCCAGGTTTGGGTGCTGTGGGGCTCCCAGATTCAGTAGTGGAGTTGAGGATGGAGTGTTCAGGGGCCACCTCTCAGAGGGGGGTTAATATCAGAACTTACCAGTGCTCTGCCTGATGTCTCCACCTGTGACCTTAGCTGCTGTTTCTTCTGTCCTCCCTGAATCCAACTACCTTGCTGCATCTGTGTTGCTCCCATTCCTGCAGTCATGCTTGACTATCTGCAGTTCAGGTCCCTTTCCTGTGTCCTGGTGCAAGTGCACCTGCCCCATTTATCTGTTCAGGTGGATTTTGTCATTGATTCTAGGCTGCTCTGGGGCAAGCTGTAATATATACTGCACCTTGGAAAAGTCATGGTCCTCATAGAAAGGTCTTAGGCCCTATGTGGCCTCTCCCTTGTTACTGCACAAGACCAGGAGGAATAAACTGAATGATATAGCAGCTTCAAGCAACTTCAGTATTTAGCTGTGCTCAGGCCAATACCCATTGCCTAAGCAGTAGGTTAATTTCCTAGCCAAAGGCTCGAGTTCACGTTAATCCCTGTGCTTCTGCATTCCTGTTTCTCCTGGTTACTGACTTCAGCTTGTATATTCTCTCTAATTTCACTCTGGTTCTACCCCTGCACAGCTGTAATGTGCACAGGTAAGGTATGCTTGAGGGCAGCAAACTTGTTCTCTCCCCAGAAAAGTTCATCACTCCTGGTGGGATGCCCGGGTGAAGACGTGGTGACATGTACATAGATAGCACCTGTGAAATGTAAGGATGCATTGTTTCACAATACCTGTAGCTACAGAGTTCAGTAAGGGCTTTTTAAGGCCTAATTACTGCTTGGGAATAATTAGGGAATACTTAAATTATCTATAGCCTGGCCACCACTTGAAGATGTATTTAGGGCTGGTTCACACCAGTGTGTTGCAATAGTGCAACCTGTGTTCACACTGCCACAAAACCTCAAGGAAAATACTTTCCATTCTAATTTATGAAGCTCCTCACATGTGTGCATTGCTTTATGGTACAATGTAGTGCAGTTTTTGAAAAAAGTTCTGCTTGCGATATTTTTTGTGCAGTTTAAGAAAAACACTCATCACATTATAGCCAATAGTAATGCACTTCAAGCTGAAATTTTCCCAGCTTCTGTATCATGTGACCACTATGACTGGTTCTCATAATGGTCACATAATCAAGAGCACATCCAGCTGGCTCCCAATCAGAAGCCATGATCACCAGTTGTCAGTGACAACTCAGTGACAGCTCAGTTAGTGTGCTGCAAGTGTGCACCATGGATGCATATGTGCGGTGGCTGAGCGTTAAAATTCACCTTTCTTGTTGCTGCGTATATGCATTACACAGTTGGCAAGACCCCACCATCACAAGCAGTTTTCTCCACTCCAAATCTATGCTCTGTAGCACTGCACTATGCAGACATGCAAACTCTGTGTCTTTTTCCTAGCCATTTTCATAGTGACAGAGCCTTGCACTGTCACAATGCATTTGGTACATTTAAATTCTCAGAATCTCAGAATGCACATTTCACAAGCCTCCTTGCCCTGCATAGCCAGTAATTAAAGATTCTTTTTGTGTACATGAAACCTTCTTCAGAAATAACTTCATTAAATGCTGTCCAATTAAAAGGCCTCATTTGCCACGCTTCTGTAACTGCTGATGCCAACAAAACAAAAAAATGTATCATTTGCATTGACAACTGCCATAAGAGCAATAAAAAAATGACTTACCAGCAAAATCCATTTCCTGAAGTAAAGTACAGGACACTTTCTTTTCTAAATCATTATATCTGGGTTATATTCAGCCAGCTTCAGGTGATTGTCACTCAAAAAAATAGAGAGGCCACATGGACATACCCCTATATAACCTCTCCCATTCCCAGCTATCCTCAGTTTTGTAGCAAATAATAGAGAGATCAGTTTTGCAGCAAGAAACGCAACAGGCCCACATAACAAACAGATCAAGAAGGGCTCGACAGACTTAGAGAACAATTTCCCACACATGGCTAATGTGTAAGGTAACGTGTATGGGCTTGGAAAAATTAGTATGTAAATGGATAGAAAACTCTGAATGGTCCAGCGTTGTTAGTGGTGTACTCCAAGGTTCGGTGTTGGGACCCTTATTTTTTAATATATTTATAAATGATATAGGGTCTGGGATTAAAAATATAGTTTCAGTTTTTGCAGATGACACCAAGCTGTGCAGTGGAATAACGTCCCTACAGGATTTCTCCAACTTACAAGCCGACCTCAATGCACTGTTTAATTGGGCAACTATGTGGTAAATGAGGTTTAATGTTGATAAATGTAAGGTGATGCACTTGGGGGCTAAGAATATGCATGCATCATACATACTAGGGGGGGTACAACTGGGGGAATCAATGGTGGAGAAGGATCTGGGAGTTCTGGTAGATCACAAGCTTAATAATGGCATGCAATGCCAAGCTGCGGTTTCTAAAGCGAGCAAAATCCTCTCTTGTATTAAAAGAGGTATAGACTCCAGAGAGAGAGATATCATATTACCCCGGTACAAATCATTAGTAAGACCTCATCTGGAATATGCAGTTCAGTTTTGGGTACCAATTCACAAAAAGAATTTTGGGGAACTGGAGAAGGGCAGAGAAGGGCAACCAAACTGTAAGAGACATGGAGGAGCTCAGCTATGAGGAAAGATGAAAGGAATTTAATTTATTCTCTCTTGAGAAGAGGAGATTAACCGCCTCCCGCCCAACATATAGTAAAATGGCGGACGCAAGGCGGTTCTGTTGTTCTGGGAGGACGTCATATGACGTCCTCCCATTCTAACCGCGCATGTGCAGCTCCGGGAGCTCGCAGCGTGGCGATTGGCGGTGCGCTGTGTCCCTCGGACACAGCGGATCACCGATCAACGGAAAGATCCGAAGATGTCAGCTCGGTCATGTGATCAGCTGTGTCCAATCACAGCTGATCACATGTAAACAGGGAAATGCTGGTTATCGGCATTTCTCTCCCCACAAACTGTCATGCTGACAGCTCGTGAGGAACGGAGAGCCGGAAATCGGCATTCCTCGGAGGGGACATGTACACAGATCATCAGAGCACTGATGATCAGTGTGCCCTGATGATCTGTGTAGCCCCAGCAGTGCCACCTGTCAGTGTCCATCAGTGCCAGCTCTCAGTGCTCATCCATGCCACCTGCCAGTGCCCATCAGTGCCACAACAGTGCCACATTTCAGTGCCCATCAGTGCCACATCAATGCCACATATCAGTGCCCATCTGAGCTGCCTTTCAGTGTCACCCATCAGTGCCAGTCAGTGCCACCTATCAATGCCAGTCAGTGCCACCTATCAGTGCTGCCAATCAGTGCCACCTATCAGTGCCAGTCAGTGCCGCCTATCAGTGTGCATCAGTGCCACCTATCAGTGCCCGTCAGTGCTGCCTATCAGTGCCGCCTAACAGTGCCAGTCAGTGCCACCTAACAGTGCCAGTCAGTGCCGCCTATTAGTGCCAGTCAGTGCCGCCTATCAGTGCCACCTAACAGTGCCGCCTATCAGTGCCATATATGAGTGCTGCCTTTCAGTGCCCATCAGTGATGCCTGTCAATGCCCATCAGTGCCACCTACCAGTGCCTCTTCATCAGTGCCAATCAATGCCACCTATCAGTGTCCATCAGTGCAGCCTATCAATGCCCATCAGTGCAGCCTCATTAGCACACATCAGTGAAGGAGAAAAATCACTTATTTACAAAATTTTATAACAAAAACTAAGAAAAAAAAATTTTTTCAAAGTTTTCAGTGGTTTTTGGTTTGTTTAAGAAAAAATAAAAAACCCAGAGGTGATTAAATACCACCAAAATAAAGCTCTATCTGTCAAAAAAAAATGATAAAAATTTCATATGGGTGCAGTGTTGCATGACCGCGCAATTGTCATTCAAAGTGCGACAGCGCTGAAAGCTGGAAATTGGCCTGGGCAGGAAGGGGGTATAAGTGCCCTGTAGGCTAGTGGTTAAGGGGGGATATGATCAACATGTATAAATACATACATACTTTGATCTGCAGGACTTCTGTTTCCACTCTGATGGTTTAAGTAAGTCACCTACATGGCATGGTCTGGTTTAATTCTTGTTCGATGCCCTCACAATCAAGGTGTTCAGCACTGAAGGAATAACCGAGTTGCCCTGAGCTCCCTAATATTGATCAGAGAACGAAATTCATACAGTGCTCGCATCCTTTACACCGAAAGAGCATTGGGTACTCCTCCTCAGCCTGACAAGCTGGTATCTGTCATGAGAGTCTTCCAAACCAGTGGGAGGAAGGATTTTCCTGACTGCAGCACTGGACTCATGTTCCACCAGACCAAGGCAAGCCTGGTTTTTATGGATCAGGTGAATATAGAGACTGGGCTTACCTGTCCTAAGCTGCCAGAATGTTGAGATGCAATGATGGAAAGCAATTGGGAGTGAAGGACTGCCCTGAAGGAGGTCACCATCAAGCCCAAATCTCTCATGCAAATGTGTTGGTTGACTCCAAGGATGTCAAATCTGAGAATGAGAGCACAGAATCTGGAGTTTGTCCAGTTTAAGAAAATTCTTGAATGGAGCTGCATTCAAGACCAAGCCTAGATACTACAAGCACTACAAGCAATGGAACAGTTCCAGCGCTGACCTATGAAGATTTAGGATCCACCTAAACCTCTGTAATGTCTGGACAGTTAGACATTGGCTCACAGAGGATGTGCTGTCTATTATCTCAGAAGTGGTTCATCCAGAAATCCCACTACGGGAATGCCCCCGAGAGAGAAGCAGAGCAAGAACAGGAACTAACACGTTGCTGAAAACTCAAGGTACAATGGACAGACCAAAGACAAGAGCAACCAAATGATAATGCTGCATTGCAAAACATATATAGTATTCATGTTCCAGGAAGTTGGAGACATGCAAGTAGGCATCGTTGATGTCAACAGAGGTCAGGTCTCTTAGATAAAGGGAACCAATGTCCTGCCTGGCACATTTCATGCAAAAAGTTTTGTACCCAGAGAAAGTGTTGATCAACTTGAGATCTACGTATGGGGCGGATATCCTTTTTGGCTTCAGAACAGTGAACAATTTGAATAAAACCCCTGGAACCTTTCCCTTTCTGGGACCATGGCTTCAGAAAGATGCAGTTCCAGAACAGCATGGAAGCCCATCAGGGGACACAAGCAAGTTGGACAAAATAAAACAGGGTAGAGGTAGAGACTGAGATTCCAGTTTGTAGTCTCTGCATCTAGCTGTGAAATGTCATAAGACCAGATGATTAAGTGCTATAATTAGAGATGAGCGAAGTATTCAAAAATTCGATTCGGCTGATTCGGCGAATTCGAGGAATAAATTCGATTCGATGCGAATATATTTTATAAAAGGGTGTTTCTAGGCTTCAGAGAGCCTTTATATCAGTGCAGAACACTGTACCATTTAATTTAAATGCCCTTGGAGTCTGCTGGGGAAGAGAAATATACTGTCAGATCAGTATGACATGCAGATGATGTGCCGTAGATCTTAGAATCACCGCACACTTCACTCATTTGGGCAGTCACGGTGACAAAACCAGAGTGTAGGAGCCATACAGTGCGGCGGTGTGGAGGCAGCAGCAATGGGAGGCATACAGCACCCTATGACAAAAATTGGAACCCACTCAGCAGTGTGAGGAGACCTGAAAGTGGCACATGGCAGAGTGTGGCGATGGATACAGCAGCAATGGGAGTCCGTACAGGACCCAGACACACTCTGGACCTGTGCATAGCATGCATTAGGAAAGGCGGTACAGGGGCCCATGGCTGATTACGGAGCTGGCAGCAAGCAATGGAGGCCCGTAATCTGCCAGCACCCTATGACAAAATGGAACCCACCAGCATGTGAGGAGGAAAAAAACCTGAAAGTGGCACATGTTTGGGGGCAAGTTTCATGGCGGAATTTAGTCAGTTGTTGTCAGGGAACTGGTGGTTGAAATCACAGACTAATCCAACGCCTGATGTCATTTTCACAAACGTGAGTCTCTCCACACTTTGGGATGGACAGTCGTGTCCTCCGCGGAGTTACAATACCATCCTGCCGCCACTAAACACACGCTCCGATGCCCCACGCTACCATGGCCGGTGCATGACAGCCATTTCAAAGGCAAAATCCTCAGCTAGTTGGGTTAGCCAAAGGTCAAGTTTCGTTGCCCAGTAGTCCAAGGGGATTGTCATACCTCGGTGGCAGGGTGCTGTCCAAGTAGGCCCAAGCCTGTTGTTTGAGGTCCTGCTCCAGTGTCCACCTTATGCTGCTGCTGCTGCGGCTGGTTAGTAGTTTCCTCACTGCGCAGGGTGAAGAAAGCTACTTCAATCATCGACTGCAGACTGAGGGCGAGCCGCTGCTTGGTGGAGCTGCCACTGCACCTACCACCCCCACCCCTCCCCTGCTGCCATGGCAGCAGAACGAGCTGAGCGCACAGGGCCCACAGTGTCTGAGGGATGGACGTTGGCCGCAGAAAGGCAGAGACCAGCTGACTATATAGGTGGTTTTTATAGTAACTTTATTTTGGCCTCCCTCCCAGCAAGGTGTTGAAAAAAGGCCGACTATTATTGAACGTAACGAGGGTCCAACAAAGGTGGACAGCCAAAAGTTCATCCCTCTGTCTGATGGTTATTATTCGGCTGTCGCTACGCAAGCAACCGAGCATGCTAATGGGCCATTTGTGCCAAGGAATGCGAGGGACTTCCTGCCTCCACTCACACAAGCAATACTGCCGACGGTGCGTCTGGGTCCCCTCCTGACTTCCCTCCACCTCCTCCACTAACCAGAATGCTCCTGCCACCACCACACCCTGTTCCGCTGAGAGTGAATAGAACCACCCATATATCACTCAATAATATTCCTAGCACCAATGTCCTCCTCTACCTCCCTCCTGCCTTCTTCCTGTCCTGCCCCTCACAGGGTTCCATGTGGCGGTTGAGAATCTTCACAATGCGCCACGTCTAACCGCACCCTGACCAGTCCATTGTTAACAAGCATTTGGTTCCCATGGACCGTGCAACAGAGGCATGACGTCGTTCCTATCCCATAGTCCCTGCTGACTCACGAATAGCGTTGCCTCTCTCAAAGGGCCTGATGCAAGCGGCAGTGTTCTACGCATGAGCTGCGGCCAATGTCTTGACAAAACGAAGTTTACATCCAGGGAGTACCTTGTATCCTTTTGTTAACATCATGGAAATCTGTGGATGGCCTTACGCTGTTCGTAAAAGGCGGTCTAAACATATGTAGGGTTGAATTCCACCATGGTGTTGCAAACGTCACAGAGCAATGAGGATTCGGCTAACGGGGGCCCATCGGCAGATTACGTGGCCTGGCAAGCAGCAATGTGGAGCCCCGTAATCTGTCCAGCACTCCTATGACAAAAAATAGAACACTACCAGCCAGTGTGAGGAGGACCTAAAGTGGCACATGGAAGAGTGTGCGATGGAGACAGCAGCAATGGATGTCCGAACAGGTGACCCATAGAGATACTATTGGACCTGGCAGCATGCATGAGAGAGGCGGTACAGGGCCCATGGCAGATAAACGGCCTGTCAGCAAGCAAATCGGGAGGCCCGTAATCTGCCAGCACCCTATGACAAAAAATGGAACACACACCAGCATTGTGAGGAACCTGAACGTGGCACATGGCAGTGTGTGGCGATGGAGACCGCAGCAATGGGAGTGGCACAACAGGACCCATTGAGAGACTCTTGACATGGCAGACAGCTGAGGAGGCGGTACAGGGGCCCATGGCAGATTACGGGCCATGGCAGGCAGCAATGGGAGGCCCGTAATTCAGCCTGCAACCCTATGGACAAAAAATGTAACACACCAGCAGTGTGAGGAGACCTGAAAGTGGCACAAGGCAGAGTGTTGCGATGGAGACATGCAGCAATGGGAATGTCCTACAGGACCCATGAGAGACACTGGACCTGGGCAGCAGCATGAGAGGCGGTATACGGTGGGCCCCATGGCAGATTACGGGCCTTCAGAAGCAAATGGGAGGCCCGTAATCTGCCAGCACCCCTAATGACAAAAATGTAACACACCACAGTGAGGAACCTGAGAAGTGCACATTGCAGAGTGTGCGATGGAGACAGCAATGCAAGGAGGCCGTACAGGACCCCATGAAGACTCCCCGGACC